CCAGCTCCCTGCCGGGGGGCTGAAAAGAGGATGGAGCTGGGCTGGTATCAGTGGGGGCAGACGACACAAGGAGCAATGGGCTCAAGTTGCAGCAAGGGGAGTTGAGGTTGGATATTAAGAGAAACTCTCTCACTAGGAGGGTAGTAAAGCACTGGCACAGGGTACCCAGAGCGGTGGCGGACTCTCCATCCTTGCAGGTTTATAAGACCTGGGCAGACAAAGCCCTGGCTGGGATAACTGTTGGTATCTTGGCATCCACCCCACGCCGTGCAGCCCAGAGCTCGGCCTCTCCTGGCTGTGCCAGGCGCCACGTACCATGCGCAGGCCTTTCACCACCACCTCGTTGGCCAGCTCCTGCTCCTTCAGCTCCACCTTCAGGGAGCGCATGTCCCGGCGCAGCTCCAGCTCCTGGGCCCGGTGGTCCTTCTGCGCCAGCTTCATGGACACGGTGCCCTCGGTGCGCAGCTCCGTCAGGTTGTTCTGGTGCTCGTACAGCAGGTGCTTCACCTTCTGCTTGTACACCTGGGGGCGGGGGGGGGCTCAGTCCCCGGACAGGCTGGGAGCGGGGGGCACCTGGCGACATGCCCAAGACAAGCCGGGTGCTGCAGCCCTAACACCCGCCCCGGGTCCCACTCACCTTGATCTCCACCTGGTGCCGCTCCTCGGCCTCCTCCATCTCGCGGTCCTTGTTGCGCAGCTCGGCCTTCTTCTCATCCAGCTGCTGCCGCGTGATGTCCCAGAAGGTGTGGATCTTGTCGCGCTCCAGCTGGAAGTAGTTGCGCTCCTCGCGCTCGCGGTCCAGCTCCTCCCGCAGCCGCACAATGTGCTCCTCCAGCTGCGGGGCCCAGGCAGGGAGAGGCATCAGGGGGGGCGGCCGTATCCGGGCTCTTCAGCACCCTTTGCCGCTGGCTGGCCCGGGGCCCGGGGGAGGGGGCTCACCTGCTCCTTGCTCATGTCCTCGGGGGACACGCCGTCCACCACGGTCGCCGCCTTCCCCCCCCTGCCCTTCTTGCCGCCTTTCTTCTTGGGCGCCTGGGAACAAGGCGCAGGGCTGAGCCGCGCGCGTGGGGGCGGCAGCAGCGCTCCAGCCGCTGGGAGCCGGTAGATGGGGGGCGGTCCCGATTGCACATGTCCGTGGGTGTCTCCTTGCCGGGGGGGGACCCCTTGCTGGGCAGAGCTGAGGGGCCCCCGACTGCCTCCCCCCCACCCTGCGCTGTCTCAGGGGCCGGGGGAGGGGGGTTAGGGTTGGGCTGCTGCTCTGAGCCCTGCACCCAGGAGACCCCCCAAAACCCCTCCCCCCGCCTGCACCCAGGGGCCCCATGCAACCAGCTTGCACCTGGAAGC